AGGAGTTATTAGGAGAGAAAACAGGAAATAGAACAGAAACACAAATGGCAGATGAAAGAATTCAACCAAAATCCGTGGCTAGGGAAGAGGTGAATATTGTGACCGAATATTTCCTCATGGATCCAGAAAGGAGAAAAGAAACTTAAAAAAGCAAAACCGACAACTAAAACCATGATTTGATATTAGAGAATCTATTCGTGTAATTTGTTACATCAATTCATTAGAAAGAAAAATCATATGCTTATCATAATCATATCCATTATTGATTCTTCACAATTCGTATCCTACTGTGATGGAAAGAAACTGCTTCATTCTTATACAAACATTCCATAAAAAAATGCTTAGATGTGGTTCACAGATATGGTTACTTTGTCTCATTTTAGATGTCCAGACTGCAGATGAACTGATTGAGACCCACCAGGAGCATCAGAGCAGACATGTGTGGCAAGTTGGATTTGCCAATGACAAAATGTCAACTAAGGAGAGAACCAACTTGGGAAAACCATTTAATTTGAGTGCAATCTACCTTTCAAACCTGATTATAAATAATGGAAACTGTTCAGGAATGAAGCTAGAGGAGTTTAATGTGTGTCAGAACATGTTTCTCCCTGGTGAGCCTGATGAGATGCATGTTGGAGAGAAGCCTGAGGACCATAATACAACTGGGAAACCCCTCAGGTATGGCGAGCATTGTAGTTTTCATCAGAAGGATCAAATTTTGCAGCCACCTTTTGAATTTGGTGGGCAAGGGAAGGGCTTCAACAAGGAGGCAACCTTCTTTACACATAGCAGTACTCACATGGGAGAGCCTGCCTATAAATATGATGAATATTGGAGAGCCTGTGACAAGTCAGCTCTCATTGCCCAAGAGAGAACTCACATAGGGGAGGGTCACTGTAGATGTAAGGAATGGGAGAACACCTTTTGTGTGAAAACAACACAGTCGAATCTTCATAGAGCTGATTTCAAGGAGCAACACCATAAATGTAATCAAAGTGGGGATAATTTCAGCAAGAAATTACACCTCACTCCACTTTCAAGAACTCAGTTAGGAGAGAAAACTTTTGAATGTGATGTATGTGGCAAAACTTTCTACAAAAAGTCTAATCTCAGTAAACATCAGAAAATACACACAGGAGAGAAACCCTATAAATGCAGTGAGTGTGAGAAAACCTTCATCAGTAAAACAGTTCTTACAATACATCGGAGAACTCATACAGGGGAGAAACCCTATGCATGTATCGAATGTGAGAAATCTTTCTGCCATAAGTCACACCTAACTGTTCATCAGAGAACCCACACAGGAGAAAAACCGTATGAATGTTATGAATGTGGGAAATCCTTCTCTGTGAAAACCAAACTCACTGTACATCTGAGAACACACACAGGAGAGAAACCCTATGAATGTAATGAGTGTAGGAAATCCTTTTACCAGAAGTCAGCCCTCACTGTACATCAAAGGATTCACAATAGAGAGACACATCATGAATGCAATGATTGTGGTAAAACCTTCCATAAGAAGTCAGTTCTCATTGCACATCAGAGAACTCACACAGGAGAGAGACCTTATGAATGTAAAGAATGTGGGAAATCCTTTGGCCATCGCCCAGCTCTTACCGTACATCAGAGAACTCACACAAGAGACAAACCTTATAAATGTAACGAATGTGGGAAATCTTTCTGTGTAAAGCCAAAGCTCACTGTGCATCTGAGACTTCACACAGGTGAGAAACCCTATGAATGTAAGGAATGTGGGAAGACTTTCTACCAGAAATCAAAACTCACTGTACACCAGAGAACTCACACAGGTGAGAAACCTTATAAATGTAATGAATGTTGGAAGACCTTTTGTGAGAAGTCAACTCTCAATAGACATCAGAGAACTCACACAGGAGAGAAACGCTATGTATGTAAAGAATGTAGGAAAACTTTCTACCAGAAGTCAGCCCTGACTGTGCACCAGAGAACTCACACAGGAGAGAAACCCTATGAGTGTAATGAATGTGGGAAAACCTTCTGTCAGAAATCACACCTCAGCAAACATCAGAGAACTCACACTGGGGAGAAGTCATGTGGGGCAGAGACTGGCTATATGTATACCCAAACTCACTTTCTCTTTGTGTTGGGCACACAGTTAGCCTGCATGTCTCAGCCTCCCTTTACTGTGGGTGGAAGCGTGTAATTGAGCTATGGCCAAGAGATCATGAACACAAATTATGAACATTATTTCCGTGTCTGGCCACAAAAAAACTTACTTGCGTTTGCTGATTTTTCATTCCTTGTGCTCCTGAAGTGCAGATTACCCGCAGGTTTGTCTTTGGAGCCATAGATGGCAACCATGACTTAAGGCAGAAAGGATTGATTGGGGAGGGCAGAGATCTTCCCAACTCCACCTCAAAAATCTTCACTTGTACTTACCTGAGTGAGAAATATTTCCTGTTGAACCCTTCTATGTGTAACCTATTTACAACACTGTGAGTCCATTGTAGCCAGTTCACTTTATGAATTTGAGGTAGGCTTCTCTGAGAAGTTACCAGTCATTGTGTAGGAGATTCACATAGGAAAGAACTTGAGTTCACTCCCAAATCAATGGATGGAAAAAAATCAAAGAAATCATAGGAAGAAAGAAATTTAATAAATGCAGGAATGCCATTATTGGCCAGAGACACCTCATTGAACACTGAGAATAAAGTAAAACCTTATATCTTTAATGTGTCCAAATTTTCAACAAAATGTCCAACTTTGTGTTTATCAGTGAATTTTTCGTGAAGGGAAAACTATCCGGTAATGTGGATAAAAAATTTCAGATAGAAATGACAGATACTGTATTGGAGAAAAATTTTTGAAGACTATAGACCATATGTTCTCTGCTTGGGGTGATTTTGCCTCTAAGGGGGACATTTGGCAATACTATGCCTGGTAAGTAGCACAGTGTCAATTGTGAATTTTTCTATTCAGGGTAGTTATAGGGCCCTGAAGATTGTAAGGGGTGGAGTAATAGACTCCACCTCTTGATGTAAAAGCATCTTACAAAAGAGTATGTGGGATGGGACATAGTAGCGTGGCCATCTTTGGAAAATACAGTAGGACACTATCCACTTTCTGGCCACAGAGTTCACATCACTTACACGTGCAAACTATAACACTGAAAGGATTCCAATTTAGAAAGCTGCTTGGCAAAATCTAGGACCCCATCATCTGTATCAGGACCAGGTGCACATTGTTTGGGCACAGTCCCTTCTGTGTGGTTACTCTTAATCTGAAGCCATGTGACCTGAAGTGAGCACTTAGGTGCCCTGCACACAACACACAGTGTAGCATGGAGATGGGAGACTCAGTCCACTCAAAGGGGAGGGGAATTGGGAGGCACTTAGCCATCTGTGGTCCACAGAAACTCTGAAGTCTAGCAGGGCCCCCATCAGTTCCTTGATTAGGATGCCGTGGTTCTGGGAATGACTTCCAAAGACTTCTGCACTCAGTCATCTCTCTTCTACAAGACATACCCTGATTTTTTTTTTTTTTTACTAACTAGTCTCCTCAGTTGTATTTCCTGCCCAGAGGACTCTTTTCATTTGAACTGTCTCTAAACCCTTTATTCAAATGGATTTAATTCCCTTTAAGAAGTTTTTGGATTTTTGATATATTAAATTGTAATCCACTCCATTAGACGAAAGTCATCCCCATACTTCTGGAACAGGATCCACTCTGCCTCAAACTGAGAGTGATGTGGGGACAATGGCCCTAAGATTTGTAAAAGCCCTATTTATCATCTATTGTGAGGATTGACAGGGCACACTCTTAAGAGTCTCAGGGTTAGCAACATCCTTGGTCTGAGATTTACTGAGCCTCCATTTTGCTGATAGTGTCCTGAATGTGATCTTTAGCCAAAAGTCATTTCATACTTTAGGGATCTTTTTTTTCTGCCTGGAGAAGCTGGGAAGGAGAAAGAGTTTTATTTTCAAACCTAGGTAGTCCTGGCTCCGTGGTATGTTGTCTAGATTGATCTTTAAGACTGAACAATTTCTTTTAGCTCATCTGTCTCTACCTACACCTTATGGTCAGTGACTCTACCAGCTATGGTTTTTTGTTTTTTGTCTCCGCTAGGAACCCACCGTTGGTTGCCTGACTTCGTGATGATGGGGTTATATTTCTCCTTTTCCAGCTGACACAATCTTTGGGTTTCCAAGGAAAGAGCCTGGAGGGAGATTGCAAGGCCGAGCAGCAAGGATTTTCTTTCTTCTTCTTTGGCAGATATCCCTGTGGTTGTGAGCAGGGTTGGGGAAGATTCCAGTCTTGTTTCTCTGGTCCTGTTTTGCTATCCAGAACTTTAACATGGTGACTCATATTTGAATGTACCTGAAATGCTTCACTTTACCGCTAAGCATAAAAGAAGTTACCTTCTATTCCTAGATTTATTTTTTTTTACGCAAATAGGTGTTGGATTTTGCCAAAGGCTTTATTCACCTGTTGGAGTAATCATGTGTCCTGTTTCTTTATTGTGAACCAGCTGAAGCTACAAAAGTATATCTAATCATGGGCTTAGCTGAACTGCTTCCATTGTCATGCAGGGGAATATACCACTTTCCAGGAGATACGAGTTATTTTGATGAGATGTTACCAGTTCATTTATGTCACAGGTCTGATTGACCCCATCTCAGAAAACTGGGAGGTTGATGCCTAGTGTGTCTAATTTTCCAGGTCATTATTTTTCCGTTCTTCCATAGAAACAGTGCTCTCCAGACTGGGGGCCTGTTTGGACCTCTCTCCACCCCACCATGTTACTGCCCTACCCGGATGTGGAAGCCTTTCAAGAGAAGGAATCTCTTTCTTCTTCAGTCACTGTATTTGGCTTAGGATCACAGACTCTGACTACCCTTGCTGCCCTTAACTGGGTGAGTGCATTTATGTGCTTTGAAACATACTTCAAAAGCGCATAATAGTTTTAGGTGAATTGACTCCCAGGATACTGAGGAATTCTAACATACTATGTTATAGTGACACATGTCTCGGTTTTATACTTTGTGCCCACAAGAGTGCAAACTACACTTGGCCTCCAATTATGTTCCTCTTTCTCAGCTAATTGGTGGGGACTGTGGGCAAGGGATTGACTGGCTGAGAACCGCAGCACCTTGCTCCTCATTTTTGGGATTTCTGGGATTCGGTATAGTCCAGGCCTGAATAAGGAATTGAAACAATCACCGTGTGGGTTTGCAGCACGTGCACCCTTCTGCCTGGAGACCCAGAACTGTGTGTTAAGTCCTAGAAATGAGCAGAGCAGAGACTATGAGGTTAGGGAAGCACTTATTGAGTGAGTCTCAGAGTCCTGCTGCAGGACTCTGGCTGAGGCCAAGAGGAGATGTGGCCAAGGCTTTACCAAGTCTCGGGGGTCAAGGGTCTTGGGCCAAACACTTCCGCCCCTGCACAAACTCAGCTGAGGCGGTTATACTGAAATAGTGCTTTTATTTCTTGAAGTTCTTGGAATATGCTGCAGGGCAGGGGGAGTCCTCCTTGCCTAGGAGGGCAAAGGGCCTTGCTTGGTGGGCAGCTCTGGGTCTTTCTCCTCGATGACTCCTAGGGGCTTGGGACTGGCCTGTGGGAGGTCAGGGTCTGAGGAGGGAAGTCTCCAAGCAACCCTGTGCCCACAGCTCACTGGGACCTGCCCCTTGTCACCCACCACGGCCAGCCTCTGCACTTTTGTCTTGGCTGTGCCCTGTGAGAACAGACCATCCCCTGAGGACTGTGGTTCCCCTTCCTCGCCTTCCTGTACCCCGCTCCTTCCATGAGCTATTCTCTGCTCCCTGCCACCTCATTCCAGGACTCACAGGTTCTCCTGGGCCAGCCCCTTCCTCTTGTTTGCTTGGGGTTCGAGCAGGGATCTGCATCCCAAGCTTTTCCAGCTCCTCCTTAAGCCTGGACAGAAAAGGGTGGGGTAGGAGTGTGGGGTCGGGGGAGAGGGTGTGAAGAGACCAGGAGATAAACTGAAAGGGGAGCAGGGACGCCCTCAGCCACCTTCCCCTTGGGGACTGGGGGCAGGGCCTCCACGCCCACCTCTGCCTCTTCTGCTGCAGCTGCTGGCACTTCTGCTGCAGCTGTTCATGGTGATGTGCAGCAGCCTCCAGGAGCTCCTGGGCCTTCCTGTTCTCCTCTTCAAACAGATGCCTGAGGGTAGGACCATCAGCAGTGGCGGCTCCCTCCCTCCACCCCGTTCCCTGTCCCCGCCATCCTTCTCTTACACTGCAGCTGCAGCCTCCTGGCTGCGGAGAAAGAGCCCCTCAGCAATGGTCGAGCAGCCATCAGCCCCAAATTGGGAACACAGGCGATGTTTCACATCCTCCAGCTTCACCTCCACAAGCTTCTCTGCAGCAGGAAGGGACAGATGGGCAGGGCAGGGCAGGGCAGGGCAGGGCCTCCCCATTCTCCAGGCCTCACCTTCCTTGAGCAGTTGCTCCTTGCTGCTGTCCAGGGTGCCAATCTCCCGGGCCATCTGCTCTGGCCTCTGAGTAGGTAGAGAGGAGGCCTGTCCATGTGTCTCAGCCTCCTCCCTTGCACCTCAGAGAAACCTCCCTGGATCTGGTCTCTACTCAGCATGCCTCACTTCCTCCTACTCTGGGTCTCTGAGCACACAAGGCGTGTTCCAGCTTCAGGGCCTTTGTACTGGCCATTTTCTCCCCACCTGGAACTGTCTCACCCCAGACACAGGTGATGCTGCACTTGGGCTCGTGAGGTGGTTCATGGATTTTGCAAGCTTTGAAATCAGGTGTGAGGCAAGTATTTATTATAGGGCATCCTGAAAACATTACAAATCAGAACTGTTCCCTGGAGAATCAGTCACCAGACCTGAACTGCAGCTCCTCTTCCCTTTGTGTGGCGTTCTCACTGAGCCCCTCCACCCTAACAGCGATTCTCTCTGCCCCTTTTATTTGGCACCTGGGATCCTTTGTTTCCCACTACCTGCCCTGTGCCAGTCATGGCTGCAAACACATCCATGGATCTTCCTCATGGATAACCTCTCCTGGGTTCGTCAGGGTTCCTCCTGGCCACTGAAGGGCCAGGGCAATGGGCAGGACCAGCGAAGAGGACGACACTGGGTGGTGGTGAGGGTGGTGTGGGGACTGAGCCAAGATGATGTGGGCCATCTTGACGTATGACCACCAGCGCTGGCTCAGGAGCTGGGTGTGGCAGGAGAGAGGGAGGAGGCCTGCAGCGTGACCCTGAGCTTTGGGCCTGGGACTTCCAGGGAAGATGTGGAAGGTGGGAGGAACGGCTTTGAGTGACTCACATGGAACTTCCAGAGGTCCTTGTGCTGGCCCATCAGGTCCTCCAGCTGTTCCTCAAAATCCAACCTGTGGACCAACCATACATGATGAGGGGCCATGGGCTGAGACATTCCTCCTCACCTTGGTCCAGGCCAGGGGTCTTCATCCACAGACCTTGGGAGGCTTGCCCATGTTCTTTGCTCTGCAGGAAGTACTTTCACCACCTTGACCCTCCAAGCCTCAGCTCAGCCAGCTCCTCTTCTAACCTCCATCCCCAATATTACCAGCACCCACAACACATCCCAGCACATCACCCCCACCCTGCCTGGTACTGGGCACTGGGCTTTACCTCAGTTGCCTCTGTTTGTTCTTCTCTTCCTCAATCTGGGAGTTCAGGGCAGAAATTCGCTCCTTGCACTCCTGCAGCATGGTCTGCTTCCTGGGAAGAGGCAAGGCAGCTCTCAGTCATATTCTCTGAATGTCTCCCCAAGACAGGGCTGGGGTGGGGCTTCTGCCTCCTCCTGGGGTCTGTTCTGGCTTTCCAGATCAAGGTCCTTCTCTAATAACTTCATGGGGGGGCATGAGCACGTGTCCCCTGGAAATACTGTTGTGAAATCAGGGAGATCACCATGGACAGACACAGTCAGGTGCACAAGCACACACTAACATATCGATCTCATCCAAATTTCCCATATAGTTCCAATGTTGGTGGGCTTGGGGACTCTGGTCACACAATGAGCTACATCAAGGCTCAGGAAGTGGAGAGATGGATTCACAAATATTGAGGTGGATGGAAAGATAGTAGATGAATGGAAAGACTGGGTGCCTTGATGCCTAAATGAAGGGACAAATGAGTGAAGAGAGACCAAGGAGCTGACTTTAGGAAGAGTGACAGGCATAAATAACAGCTTAAAGCATTTGATATTCTAGCAAGTGAATGATTATCCCAGTGAGTCAGAGTACTGTTGACACTACTGCATACTGTTGGGGCCAAGACATGCCTCTGGCCTCTCCTTTTTCCAGAGGGAGACACTGACCTGTGGGCCCAGGACTGACTGTCCCTCTCTGCTTTCCACCACAATGAAGGGGAGGGCAGAGCAAGTCCCAGATGGAAGCTCTTACCTCTGTGCCTCACTTTCCTTCTCCTGGCAGTGGAGCCTGAGGGTCCTTAGGGTCTCTGCAAGGAGAGGAGCCAAGGGCCCCATGAGAACGCATCAGAGCACCAAGATTGGGCATTGAGAATAGGGTCAGATCACGTGTGGTCTTGTGGACACCTGATAAGACTTTGTCATTTACTGCAAGTGTGGTGGAAGCCACAGGAGGGATGCAAGCTAATTCAGGTTCCAAAGGGCTTCAGCTGCTATGGAGAGATTGGCCTCTGCAGGGTGACAAGGGCAAAAGTCTGGGGACAGAGTAGCTTCAGTTACCTTGCTTTTTGTTCAAGATCTCTTTCAGGCGTACTTTCTCTCCACTCACTGGAAAACACAGTAACACATTCAGGCCTCAGTGTGCATCACTGCACCCTCAGGGAGTGCATTTGCCCCTCACCGCACAGGCAGTCTGGGATAGTTCTACCCCAATCCCAGATGTGGACCCCTTGAGTTGAGCCCCCTCCCCTCTTGAGCCCACTCCCTGTAAGCAGCAGAGGGCCCTGGGGTTGATAAAGGTGACTGTGAGGATCCTGCAGAAGGCCATTGTGTTTACATGGAGGGGGGAGAAAAAACACATCACATGAACTGGTATATGAGCTATAAAGAAACACAGGCAGTAAGGGGAATGTGATCAGGTGGGGACAGGGTGCTGTCTTTAGATGGGATGACTTGGGGGAGGTTTATCTGAGAAGGGGACATTCAAGGTAAGAGCTGATGAGGATGTGTGGCAATAGGAACCTATACCATCTGGGGGAGAACAGCCTATCAAAGGCCCTGAGGTAGAAGTATGCTTGGAGAGTAATTTGAGAACACTCCTACCCACGGAGTGGGAGATTGGCAGGACCTGATGTTGGAGAGGGGGTAGGAGCCCTTGGCCACAGCAAGAATGCTAAGTGTCCAGAATACTGAGTTCAGGAAGGTATGACACTGAAGACCTCTGGGTGACCCCCAGCATGCTTACATGAGTCCATTTCCCTCTGCAGGGCCTCCCAAACAGTCCGGGCCTCTCCCAACTCCTCACTGGCTTTCTTTTTTGCTGTGCCAAAAAGCAGAACAATGTAAGTGCAGCCTCCAACTGCATTATTCCTTGCAAACAGTGACATTTTTCATTTGTCTTCCAGGAAATCTGGGTCGGGGGACAGATTTTAAAGCAAGAAACCAGGCTTCTAGAACACAAGCCTTTCTTGTTGGGCTCAGTTGACAGCACCACCAGGTTCATGGACATGTGACTATAGCAGTTGCATTTACATGGACCCATCCTTGGTTTTAATGATCTGCTGCTGCTGTCATGAACTACTCAGTAATCTTTTAACAAGGAGCCCTGCAAATCATGTAGCTGGTCCCGGAGCTCACCTTGCTGAACCTCATTAATCCGATTAATCAGGACTTCAACCCTGGGCTCTAGGCTTCCCGCTGCAGGAAGGAAAGGAAGTTGAGTGGAGATGACAGGGCAGGTAGAGGGATTTGGGGGCCCTACAGGGACTCTCATTCTGGGTAGGGGAGACAAGGTAAAAAAGAAACAGATACTGAGTCAGACCATAGTAATTGCAGCCAATAAAAACATAGAGGGGCAAGGAATTAAAAAGTGAAGGAGTGGGGCATGCCCTTCAGATATGGGAAGACCTCTTAAGGGCCCCAAATCACCGGGAGGGCAGTTCCTGGGTGGGGTGGGAGGTAGTCAGTGTAAAGGCCTGCCCTGAGGTGGGAATGTGGCTGGAAGGAGGCTGGTAAGCAGCAAGCAGAGAGCAGCAGAGCTAAGGTGGAGGGAAGGGCGGTGAAGGTGAAAACATGGATTTAAATGAATACAGTTGGGGCCAAATGGGTGGCTAGCAAGGGGGTTTGGGGAAAATTTCTCGCCCTCCATCCCCTCATAATTCAATTTTGAATCATGGTGCTGTATTTTTGCTTCAAAGAATTAAGTTTTAAAAGAGAGAGCAAATGGATTAATGTCCCAAGGTTGTGAACTGTGAGGCCTGGAACTGAATCCACTTCTGCCTTATCCCAAAGCTCAGGCTGTGCCTGTTACAGATGAGACATGAGACCTTTCTGCAACTTCTTCACCATTTCCAGCAAGTCTTCAATTTTCTGTGAGGATTTGGCTTGCCCTGTGGAGACAAAACCAAACATTTCAGAATCCCGAAGGAGTGAGAGGCCTGAGGAAGGATCCAAAAACTTTGGTCTGGGACTGAGGGGCGCTCAGGTCTCCAGCCACAGTGGTGCCCCTGCTCCTTGTCCTGAGGTGGATGGATACTGAATGAGAGATGAGTCAGGCCATTTCACAGTCTACTTCTTCTAAATTGTGAAATCATGCCACAGATTTCCCCTTAATACAACTCAGGCCAAGGGGAGGGGTGAACTTTCACTGCCTGTAGTATTCAAGATTGGGTCAAAGCTCATGATGTAATAGTGAAAGAAAAAAAAAAAGGAGGGGTATAAAAAAAACTGGAAACAAGGAGTCAAAAATCACTGTAACTGCAGATGGCTAATTAACTAGAAAGTTCTAGAGAGTCTTATAAAAAATCCCACAAAGAATAGAAGAAAATTAAGACATCTCAGTTTAAAAAATGCAGTTATTCTATACACACTTATTATTCTGAAGCCTCCCAGTAAAATATTAACCTGTTTATAACCAATATAGGCACTTATTTTTAATCCCTTAGTGAACTGGTAGATCTAGGCAATTATTACTAATGGTACTAACATCACAATAAAGATAACTGGACACTATGAGCCAAATGAGGTAAACATATAGGATTCTTGCCAAAAAAATCAGACTAATATCTTTTAATCCTCTCAACCTAAATACTAATTCAGAGGAAATACAGGGACACAGGACACATGGGGATGCAATTATCAACATCCAGACTGGGAACTTTATTGGAAAACCAACTCACGTCCTTTAACAGATTTGGGGGGAAAAGGGAAAAAAGAAGAGCCTTGCAGACTAAAAGGGATTACAGAGAAATATAAATCAATCTCAAAAATGGCCAGTATTTAGATCTTGATTCAAACAAATGCACTTTAAAAAATATTGATGACACAATCAGGGAAATTGGAAAATTGAGTGGATATTTGATGAAACTAGGGAATTAATGTAGTTGTTATTCAGATACGACAATACTATTGTGGTTAGTTATCTTTTAGAGATATGCATGGAAATATGCATGGATGATATGCTATGATGCCTGTGATCCTCAAATGAAGTAGTGGAATGAGTGGCAGGAGTGGGTTAGGGTAAAGAGGAAACAAGGTTGGCCAAAAGCTGATAACTGGTAAAGTGGAAAGATGGGCTCCTGGGGTAATTATACTTTGTTCTCTCCTTTTGTATATGCTTAGATCTTTCCATAATATATTTCAATCAATATAAAGAAGGTAAACAATCATTTCTATAGAAAAGTGGAGAAAAGGAGAGGACAATGAAGCAAAAATTATACAAATGGTCACTATTTGAAAAGCTGTACAGAGGTGGGCGGAGCAAGATGGCGGAGGAGTAGGAGACCTAGATTTCGTCTGGTCTCAGGAATTCAGCTGAATAGGGATCAAACCATTCTGAACACCTACGAACTCAACAGGAGATCGAACAGGAGAGTAGCAACAACTCTCTGAACAGAGAAGCGACCACTTACTGGAAGGTAGGGCGTGCGGAGAAGTGAATCCGAGGCGATATTCGGGAGGATAGATGGTGGGGGAGGGGGCCTCCGTCGGCCGCTTCTGGCAAGTGATAGAGCCGCGGAGCACAAAATCGGACCTTTTAGAAGCCGGCTCCGCTGAGGGACGTCGCTGCAGTGGCTAAGCGGGGGGTGGAACCCTCCCGGGACAGTGTGGTCTCAGGACCCTTGGGGTCACAGAGAGACCGGGGGTGCCTGAGTGCGGCAGAGCTCCCAGGAATCGGAGCGGGGAAGCCGGCTGCAGAGACGGAGCCGAGGCGCGGGCTCTCAGCTCGGGGTTGCCATAAACTGTGATCTGCAGCCCAGTCGGGGCACGGCTCCCCCAGCAGGGACCCAACAAGCAGCAGATCCGGGGAGACTCCCCTTCCTTCCCGGGGAGGAGCGGTGCGGGAACGCACTGCAGGGATCTGCTGGGTTTGGAGACTCCGTGCGGGGTCGGGTGCCAGAGATAGCAACGCTCGATCACAGGCCGGGTGAGCACCGAGTGCGGCCGGAGACCGGGGACACGGAAGTGACTGCTTTTCTCTGGGGGCACACTGAGCAGCGGGGCCCCGAGTTCTCAGCTCCTCCGGGTGGAGATTGGGAGGCCACCATTTCTGCCCTGGTCCTCCAAAGCTGTACCGAGAGCTTGCAGGGAACAAAAGCTCCTGAGAGCAAACCGGAGCAGCTTCCTTAGCCCGGACCGACAAGGGCGGGGCAATTCCGCCTCCGGCAAAGACATTTGGGAACCACAGCAACAGGCCCCTCCCCCAGAAGATCAGCACAAACAGCCAGCAAGCCAAGACCAAGTTGATCGATCAAGGAGAATGGGAGAACTCCAGCGCTAGGGGAATACTGCACATAGATTCATGGCTTTTTTCTTTTTTTTACCATGATCCATTATTTCATCAAAGTTAATTTTTGTTGACTGTTTTTTTTTTATTTTTCTTTTTCCCTTTTTCAACCAACATCTTATCAATCCTTTTTTAAAAAAAAAAACATTTTTTATTTTTCATTTTTAGAGTCATATTTTATCCCTTCATAGTAGTTACACTTATTTTTGGCATATATATATAAATTGTTCTCTCTTTAAAATTTTGAGGTACAGTTTCTTCTAACAGATCAAAATATACCCTAAATCACTAGTGTATGGCTTTGTTCTAGTCTCCTGCCTGATCACATTCTCTCCCTTTTTCCTTTTTTTTTTTTTCTTAAATCTTCTTTCTTTTTTCAAACAACTTATCTTACCAAGTCCTTTTATAAAATCTTTTATAATTTTCATCTTTACAGTCATCTTCCATCCCTTCATTGTATCAACCCTTATTTTGTACATATATGTCTTTCTTCCTTTAAAATTTTAGGAGGCGCTTTTTTCTAACAGACCAAAATACGCCCAAAATCTAGTGTGTGGCACTGATCTATGCACTAGCCTGATCATATTTGATCATATTCTGCTTTTTTTGTATTGTTTTGTTTTTGTTTTTATCTTTTTTTCTTTTTTTTTCTTTTTCTCTTTCTTTTTTCTTTCTTTCCCTTTCTTTTCCCCTGGTTTCAGGTCTTTTCTGATTTGCATACAGTATATTTGCTGGGGACGTTGTAAACCTGTTAGCATTTTGTTCTCTCATTCATCTATTCTCCTCTGGACAAAATGACAAGACGAAAGAAATCACCTCAGCAAAAAGAACAAGAGGTAGTACCGTCAGCCAGGAACCTACTCAATACGGACATTAGTACGATGTCGAACCTAGAGTTCAGAATCATGACTTTAAAGATACTAGCTGGGCTTGAAAAAAGCGTGGAAGTTATTAGAGAAACCCTTTCTGGAGAAATAAAAGAACTAAAATCTAACCACATCGAAATCAAAAAGGCTATTGATGAGGTGCAATCAAAAATGGGGGCACTAACTGCGAGGATAAATGAGGCAGAAGAGAGAATCAGCGATATAGAAGACCAAATGATGGAAAATAAAGAGGCTGGGAAAAAGAGAGAGAAACAACTACAGGATCACGAGGGCATAATTCGAGAGATAAGTGATACGATAAGACGAAACATTAGAATAATTGGGATCCCAGAAGAAGAAGAGAGAGAGAGAGGGGCAGAAGGTATATTGGAGCAAATTATAGCAGAGAACTTCCCTAATGTGAGGAAGGAAACAGGCATTAAAATCCAGGAGGCACAGAGAACCCCTCTCAAAATCAATAATAATAGGTCAACACCCCGACATCTAATAGTAAAACTTACGAGTCTCAGAGACAAAGAGAAAATCCTGAAAGCAGCTCGGGAGAAGAGATATGTAACCTACAATGGTAGAAACATTAGATTGGCAACAGACCTATCCACAGAGACCTGGCAGGCCAGAAAGGACTGGCAAGATATCTTCAGAGCACTAAACGAGAAAAATATGCAGCCAAGAATACTATATCCAGCTAGGCTATCATTGAAACTAGAAGGAGAGATAAAAAGCTTCCAGAACAAACAAAAACTAAAGAAATTTGCAAACACGAAACCAGCCCTCCAAGAAATATTGAAAGGGGTCCTCTAAGCAAACAGAGAACCTAAAAGCAGCAAAGAGCAGAAATGAACACAGACAACAGACAGTTAACAGTCACCTTACAGGTAATACAATGGCACTAAATTCATACCTTTCAATAGTTACCCTGAATGTAAATGGGCTAAATGCCCCAATCAAAAGACACAGGCTATCAGATTGGATTAAAAAACAAGACCCATCCATATGCTGTCTGCAAGAGACTCATTTTAGACCCAAAGACACCCCCAGATTGAACGTGAGGGGGTGGAAAACCATTTACCATGCTAATGGACACCAAAAGAAAGCTGGGGTGGCAATCCTTATATCAGACAAACTAGATTTTAAAACAAAGACTGTAATAAGAGATGAGGAAGGACACTATATCCTACTTAAAGGGTCTATCCAACAAGAAGATCTAACAATTGTAAATATCTATGCCCCGAACATGGGAGCAGCCAATTATATAAGGCAATTAATAAGAAAAGCAAAGAAACACATTGACAACAATACAATAATAGTGGGGGACTTTAACACCCCCCTGACTGAAATGGACAGATCATCTAAGCAAAAGATCAACAAGGAAATAAAGACTTTAAATGACACACTGGATCAAATGGACTTCACAGACATATTCAGAACATTCCATCCCAAAGGAACGGAATACACAGTCTTCTCTAGTGCCCATGGAACGTTCTCCAGAATCGATCACATCCTAGGTCACAAATCAGGTCTCAACCGGTACCAAAGATTGGGATCATTCCCTGCATATTTTCAGACCACAGTGCTTTGA